GGGGGGGGGGGGGGGTTATATATTTTATTGGACCAGCTATGTAGTTGAGATGTTAGACAAACTGTTGGACACAAAGGGCACCTACACACATGCCTAACGACCGCTCCGACTCATGCTAATTAGACATTAACTGAGTCTTCTGGATCATACTACTTAGCCTGCTCCAGCAGCCTCAGCATCTCGTGTATTCAGCGTCCCTACGCTTCAAAATAGTAGCAGAAGCTCTTTAACTAAAGCTCTTTGAGCAAGCTTTAGTTAAAGCACTCCCACCATCATTTTGAAGCATGGGATGTTGAATTCACAAGATGCTGCAGGCACTTTAATTAGAGCAGCTCTTGGTAGCTGCTTTAATTAAAATGCAGCCCCCTTACCACAGAGCACATGTAAAGACACTTAAAGTGCCCTTCTTCAGGTCATGCTTTGTGCCCAAAACCGTGTCCAGTATCTCTCCCAGCTATGCAGCTGGTGCAGTAAAAGATCTCACAGAAGACCCTTGCCTCTTAGGCCATTTATACACATATCTTTGTCTGCTCCAACATGCTGGAAATCCAGCGTGTCAGAGCAGACTCGATTAATCGCCACTTTTGATTAATTGACTCTGCAGAGCATGCAAGCTGATGCTCCTGGTGCTGCATTGCATACATTTGTATAAAAAGCAAAATGCGTGTCAGCCCACAGAAAATAGTGACAGTGTGCTTTTGAACTAAAACACCTTTAATGTGTTTTAGTTCAAAAGCGCGCCGCCACCATTTTCTCAGCACTGACACGCATGTCACCATTTATACGGATGCATGCACTGCAGTGCTGGGCACTTTTAAAAAGTGCCTGGTGCTGTGGCGCAAACATGTGCAAATGCCTTTACATTTTTGGGGCCATTACAGTTATAGCAACACTCCAACCCTACCTTAAGTTTGAATTTTTAAAATTGAACAAACTTTCACTTTCTTTTCAGCAGTTTTCAAGAGATTTTCCTTGTGCTTTACTGTCTTATGATTTGCTAGAATCTTCTTATAACCAGAATCTTTGAACTGCAGGGATTGTAGGTTACAGGTGATAATATTTAAAGTGTGCGTGACAAGTGCAGATAGTGTGCTTGGTTTGCACATTGCTCAATGCTGCATATTTCTAGTGGACAGTCTTTTGTGATAGTCTGTACTTTTGACCCCTCATCAAGTTCAGAAATGAAGCTGTCTAAATCAAGATTTTTGCATACATTGACTTTAAAATGTACATAATTGACAATATCTCTGTGATCCGTTTATGCTGATCATATGCAGAATCTACAAAGCACTAAAATCATTTTCTCAGAACTCAGTGCCAGCTCTGGGTTGGATTCAGGCAAAGCTAGTTATCTCTCTGGAGGTTTTTTAGGACATTGTATTCTTCACCTCTACAGGTAATGAGGAAACTTGCAGCATGGAGGTTCAGTGGCCTAGCTAGGGCCACAAAATCATTACCAGCTGGGATTGGGACTCTGGAGCACCTTGTTCCAGTATTGTGCTCATATCAGTAGTCACTTCTGTATCTATTATGTATTCCTCACTCATGCCTCTTAAGCATTTTATGAAAACTTTCTTCTGGTTCAGATTAATGCACAGTATTTCCATAGCACTCTTTTATGTGATCTAAAAAAAATGGAATTTATACAACAAAATCATATTGAACACTGGCTGTTGCACTTCATTCTTAACTTGTCACCTGATGCTGTTTTACTTGAAGATGGATTTTGTGTGTTATCACTATCATTATTCACTTTTCCAGAAAAGAGAATAGTGAGGGTTCATGTATACTACTAACTTAACTTGCCAGGCAGTGCCATGCTGAAAAGCACAGCATTGCTCTGCACGCAGTGCCTCCAAACCAGAAATAGTTTAGCCATGTTTGCACAGCAGTGTATCTGAGACCGTCAGCTCAGCCTTTCAACAGGGCATATTTGTTCACCTATAGCATCACAGTAAAGTAAATTAGCAATCATTAATTGTGTTGCCATACCTTTAATATAGGTATTTGGGCTTGCATTTTTGTGTTTTACTTTTTTTTTAATATTAAACCTTATCTCACTTTTTTGTTCCTGTGAATTCTCTTTTCAGGCTAAGAGGCAGCAGCGAAAACTTAACTTCCTGATCACACAGACTGAACTATATGCACATTTTATGAGTCGCAAACGAGATATTGGACATGATGGCATACAGGAGGAAATTCTGCGGAAGTTGGAAGATAGCTCAACCCAAAGGCAGATTGATATTGGTGGTGGAGTAGTGGTTAACATCACCCAAGAAGATTATGGTAAGACTAGTAACAGAATTCCTGTAGGGTGTGGGAAGCACTGAAAGTGAATTACATAGTCCTGCAGACAATCATGATGCCAAGAGGACTTCAGTGCTTGGGATTATTCCTGAAGAAGCCTTGCGTAATTTCCAGTAAAGTAATTGGAATTTATGCAGATGTTACATTGAGTTGGTAATTGCAATATGGTTAACTGAAGTGTTTTAACATGCTGGTATTGTTTTCAGATAGTAACTACTACAAGGCCCAGGCTCTGAAGAATGCAGAAGATGCTTACCAGATTCATCAGGCCCGGGTGTGTACTTCTTCAGTGCATGAGGTGGAAGGGGAAGTGGAATAAATTGTAGATGCCCTAGAACCAGACTTTTCTATAGTAGTCTTCTGTCAGGACCCCTGTTTGAATTGTGGATGCCAAAATTATTTTAATTTAATTATGTTGCCCTGTTCATTTGTGAACAGTTGGGAAACTGGAGGGCAGAGGATTGGATGAAAACAAAGTGTGTAAGCTATGGAGACAGGCTTGTTTTCCATTACTTACATCACTATGAGTTAACATCAAGGGTAAGACCTTTTCCCAGTGAAGTTCTTGATCTGTGCGAGTTTGTCTTGTATCTTACCTCAATTTTTTCCCTTCCTTGTTTAGACCAGATCATTTGATGAAGATGCAAAGGAGAGTAGAGCAGCTGCCTTACGAGCTGCCAACAAATCTGGCACTGGCTTTGGAGAGAGCTATAGCCTAGCAAACCCATCTATTCGGGCTGGAGAGGACATTCCACAGCCTACCATTTTCAACGGTAAACTGAAAGGATACCAATTGAAAGGCATGAATTGGCTGGCCAACCTGTACGAGCAGGTATATTAATACTTCTTGCAGGCATTTACATCAGTCTGAGTTTGTCTCTAAAAATGCAATTTTGTTGTAGTTCATAGTATAATAGCTAAAATTTGGCTAAAAGTATAATAATAATTAGAAGATCATTTATGGGATCTAGAAATATTTCAGATTGCAAATATGTTGCCTGCCTTTTTAAAGGAAAAAATATTATGTAATACCAAGCAGTACTCTTAATTTCTTTAAGAAATCATAAGATAAAGTACATGTGATATTGTCCTGTAGATTCTTCGCTGCATATATCTATATCAGGCCCAAACTAAATTGTGCCTGAGGGGATTATACCATGCATTTATCATTTTTTATGCCTAGATCAGTCTCTAAATTGGAGACAGCCTTGCTTTTCAACACAAACATGGTTTACACTTACATTGCAAAGAGCAGACTGATTGAGAAAAAAATTGAGCCCAGAAATGGATGAAAATGTAAGAGCGATGAACCGATGGGGGAAGGAATAGGAAGCTTCAGACTTGTAAAGTGGGCTGCTGGTCCTTGCATTGATGACAGGTGTTCTGATAGTCATCTGTTTGTAAGTGATGGAGATGTTCATATGCAGATCTTTTTTGCAGGGTATCAATGGAATCCTGGCAGATGAAATGGGTTTGGGTAAAACAGTGCAGAGTATTGCTCTGCTTGCACATCTGGCTGAGGTAGGTGGATTCTTTATGATCAGCATACTTGATAGAAGTGGTATACTTAACATGAGGTTGAACTGAGTTCTAGTTCATAAAATCTGAATGCTTCTAAGATACGTTTTGGGTAGGGGCCAGAGTAGAAGCTGCAGCAAGTCCCCTGCCCCCACAGGTCCCCTATGCACCATGCAGTTTCCTCTGCACCCTCTCCCCTTCAGCACACCTTCTCTTCTGCCACCCTAGCCCCACCAGGTAGCAGTGGGTGTGGCAGCTCTGGCCCTGGCCTCCAGTACTTGAATCCAAGACAAGGCTTTCTCTCCATGTTGAATGGCGGGGAAAAACCTTGTCTGGGTATTACTGTAAATGTAGTAACAGTATTGGGCAAAGTTTAGAGATAGGTCAGAGTTTGAACTCATTTTTCAAACCACCAGTGGCTGTTGGTGGAACAACACTGTGGGTCTGAAAATAGACCTTGTCGCATGGTTAATCTGCTGAATGTAGGTGTGCACCACCTTACTATACTGGTAGGAAGCTTTGTTATGCAGTTTGTATACTTCTCTCTCTTGTGCACACCTTTTGTCATTAATTAATCATAATACTACGTGAAATTGTTGGATTCTCTCTTGTTAATTTGGCATTGTTTCCTGTTCTAGAGAGAGAACATCTGGGGACCCTTTTTAATAATTTCACCTGCCTCTACACTCAACAACTGGCATCAGGAATTTGCCAGATTTGTTCCTAAATTTAAGGTAATGTACATACTTAGGAAATGTGTTTCTTTTGGCTCACAAAAACTTAACTTCCATGTTCCATTAAGTTATTTGCCACATATGAGTGATCTGATTTGCTTTAAGTTAGAAGAGGTATAATAAAGCTGATCCTTTTCTCTTGAGTCTTTCTTCCTGGAGTATTACATTATTTGATGCTTAAATTGTTATGACTTAAAATATATCATTTTAATTTGGGACAGATATTTCTTTTAATAAATTCTCAATGAGATGTTAAGATTGTGCAGTAGCATGAGAAGGTAATTGGCATGCCCTTGCAAAATTTGTATATGCCACAGTAGCAAGAAAGAGTTTGCTTTCTGAATTTAACACATCGTCTCTTGTCAGTGTTTTGGACTGTCCAAAATCAATGCAGTTGAGTGACAAATGATTAAATTGTGGACCGAAGCAGAATTCTAAAAAACCTCAGCATTGTTAAAGGAAAATGAGCCCCAGAGCTGTGTGTATTAAGAAAATTAGTTAGGAAGTACTAATTTAGGTTGTTGAATGAAAAATAATAAGGCAACAAAGTAAAGAATTACTGATTAATGAAAAAAACAACCGCTAACCATATGTGCATGGACAATATTTTGAGTACTGCAAAAGATAATTTAAAAACAACCTGAGATCACTGAACAAGTGCTAAGGAAATATTTTAATTAAAGATAAACAAACCAGTAGTAGCTATGAGTGGTAGGAGTTTTATGAATCAAATACATGAGTCATTGTCAAACATTTAACTAGCTTCCTGATGCTGGAGAAGTCCTGGGTTGCTGTAAAACAAAAGAAATTAAGAGGTTTGCATAGATGGTGGCTGTGATAAGAATGGGATTATTTGGAGCAATTTAACAGGAGATGACAAAGTATTTAAATTGGCCCAGGGTTATTTTAAATAGAGGTGCACTCATATATTGGTCCATATTGGCCTGGCACTGATAAAAAGGAAATTGACATTATTGGCAGCCAGCTTTTTTTGGCCGGCGTAGCGGATGTCACTGGTAAATGCCGCAGCATGTACGCAGCCAGGAATGCAGCCTGGCAGCTTGGAGAGCAGTGTCTGGCTGGTAAGTCTTGTTGGGGGGAGGGGAGAGGTGCATAGGGGCGCAGATTGAGGTCCCCACAGTGAGGGAGGGAGTGGGGCTGAGGCAAAGGTAGGCATTGCCTAGTTGGGGTGGGGCATGGGACGGAGCTGTGCATGTCTCATCTGGGGGCGTGGAAAATAGCATGGCTCTTGCCACTGTGCACACCCCTGGAGGAGGCATAGGGGGCATGTCCCTCCTCAGTTTGTGGGCAGGCTGCCCGCTGGGGGCTGTGCTGGCCTCTTTCTGGGGGGGGCGGGGGGCAGGGGGTGTGCTAGGGGTGGGTGGAGGGGGGGGTTATGGGGAATTTTGGAGTGCCTATAGTCTACCCTGTAGCCCCCCTCCCAGCGCTGCTGCCACCACCTGCTCTGCTTCTGCCACGCTTCGCTCCCCCAGCCCTGAGCCTGCAGTGGGCAGCCCGCCCTTGTCCTGCATGGAAATCCAGGGGGGCACATGCCCCCATGCCTCCTCTGGGGCCATGCATAGCAGTGAGTCGCCTCCTCCCCACATCCCACAGCCTTGAATGAGTCTCCCATGGCTCTGTCTGGCACCTGCCCCACCCTTGCAGAGACTGCCCCTGTCCCAGCCCCACTCCCTCCCTCACTGTGGGGACCTTGATCTACTCCCCCACACCCCCCCCAACTTAGCGGCCAGATGCTGGTCTTCAAGCTGCCAGGCTGCATTTCAGCTATCAGATCGGTATTGGCCAGTATGGCTGGTTAATAATTGGCCATTGGTATTGGCCAAAAAAATCTTACCAGTGCATCCCTAATTATAAATTAAGCGTATTGATTTTTGAGGTCACTGAATAGACCAAAGCCAAGTCAGACCTGAGTTAGAATAACAGGTATTAATTTACAGAAAATGTATGTATGGAATAGTTTTCTTAAAGATAACAGTTAGTTTTATATGTGGGAATGAAAGGCTGATTTGGAGGTGAGGAAAAGAGTACATGTGTGACTATTTTTGCGGATTGACTAATTTATTGTATAACTTTTCCTCATCCCACAGAGTAAAAAAATATATTTTTTAAAAATATTCATTTTTCTAAATATTTATACTTTTTACAAGTTGAAAAATATGGAGGAAAATTTCACCGTCACATTTTACTGGCCACAAAGAACTCACACCACCTTCTGGTCATATCTAACTGTATAATTAATTTGCTTATATTGAAATATAAATGGTGAATTTCTTCAGGCCCATGGTATAATTTCTAAAATAATTATCTAATCTGATGTCTCCCTCTCAACAGTCTTCTTTCAGAATGGCAGAACACTCAGTATTAACTTAGTTTAATACCAACTATATGCACTTCTGTGAAGGGCTATAGAAAGTTAGGGTTTATTAGATGAGATGGCAGGAAGATTAAAGAGATTTTTTTCTGTGCCTCATTTTCCTTTTATTCTCAATCCCAGCCCTAAGCAGTTTCTGTATTAGACAACAGGTGGCAGTGTTACACTGTTGACGTTGACCACATTTTACTGAACTGCACTGACACTAGATAGTAAGCTTAACGCTCTTTTCTGGGGAAACAGGTCAGCTGGATCCTGAGCTGAGAGAGAATCAAGGCTGCTTTGGCTGTTGTGCTTACCCTTAGTTGTTATGGACACACTCCACTAGAGACTACTTCAGTCTTTGTCCATAGCATAGTATGGTTGATCCAAGATGATAGAGTCAGCAGACAGCAATTCAATAGTAGGGAAACGAATCTGCTTATCATTCATGGATGTCCAAAAGTGAGTTTCTAAAGCAGCTAACAGCCTAGGGCAGGCTTTTTTCTTACAATACTGAAAGTATCAGTATTGTTTTCTTAGAAGGTCTAACTAGAAAAGGGCACAGCTTCTTCTGGGTATTAAGGGTTTCATTAAGAAAATTGTTGTCATTTTTGCATTATGTACCAGCTGCTTGAGACTTTTGCTTGTGAAAGGCTATTTCTAAATATGCTTTTTTTTTCCTTTGGGTTAAGGAAATTTTTCTCTGATATTCTTTTTGGGTGTTTGGGGAGGGGTTGGGGCTGTGTTTAGAATATTTTGATTTTGCTTTGCTATGTATGCAGTTTATTTCAGTAATGTCAGTATTGAAAATAACATTTTTTTTATACTTGTTTTCAGGTGCTACCATACTGGGGAAACCCCCATGACAGAAAAGTGATCAGGAAATTCTGGAGTCAGGTAACATTAGTGCCCCTTTGCTTTTACCAGAGAGTTCCATCTTTTTCATCTCTGTTTGCTTCACCTTTATGTATAAACATGTCGACGGGCTGCCTGATCAGTCCAAATCTAAACTTTTTCATTTCAGGAAGTGACTGCGGTTCTGCAAATAAAGTAGAGAATTTAAAGCAGATAATGTTTTAAAACATTAACTCGTGAAAAAATAGACACATTTGTAGATGAGCATAAGGACAGTGGATACTTATAGAATATAAGTGTGAAAACGAACAGCCTAGACTCCTTCTTCACAATGTGTGCATATCATCTATACTTTTTTTTATTATAGAAGACATTGTATACTCAGGATGCCCCCTTTCATGTGGTGATCACCAGTTACCAGCTGGTAGTCCAGGATGTGAAGTATTTCCAGCGAGTGAAGTGGCAATATATGGTACTTGATGAAGCACAGGCACTCAAAAGTAGCTCCAGGTAACATAGACGTAAAATTTGAAAGAAAAGTTAAATTGCATTGGGATCTGACAGAGAAGTAAAGCTTACTGATGGCACTTGAGAAAGGCTGCATTCTTTTATGCACATGTTTTCAAGAGATCCAGTGAGGATTTATCCCTGTTCTCAAGCCTTCCTAACTGACAGGCACTTGTGTCAATAAGGAGGAGTACCAGACACTGTTTCTCCTCTCAAAGGAATATGGATCAAATTAGGGTTGGTCCCTGTCATCCTTATGTTGGTGCTGTTCTGTATCCTGCTGGCCTGTTGGCCTGGCCCACGTCGCTACAAAATCTTGAATTTACTTTGCTTGACATTTTTGAAAATTTCATCTATGTATAGATGAAAAAAATATCATGTGTGAGTAGTACCTGTCTTAAGCATCTAACTGAACCTAGGTAGATAATTGTATGGGTTTTTTTTTTACTTCATAACAAAGCCTATGTCTAGGGTGGTTCATGTCTATTTGCTTAATAAAGTATTATTAGCTTGTCTTTTCTTTAATTGCTTTTTCTTCCAAAAATTGGAATTAATACACTTTAATTCTCCTCTGTGTGTTTAAAAACATCTCCAGAGCCAGGTTTATCTACGTTGATGAGAGAGCTTCTTTACATTCTATGGGAATTTTCTATTCCAAGGGAGCTAAAACAGATGGTTTAGCTCTCCTTAATTGTGGCCTATTAACTTTGTAAAATTTTGCAAAAAATAGGGGTAAATGCTGGGGGTAATTTTGCTAGTTTAAAGGGATAAGCATTCTGATGTAGTTTTACTGCCAAGCACTTACATGTTACAAAAAGGATGTCTGCTGTACATACAGTAAGTGAATTTGGTCTCTCTGATACCTGTCATATAATATAGTCAAGTTTTCCAATAGCAGGATAATCTCATAGCCCCTTAAAATCACTCAGAATTGGGTCTAAAAAGCAGTTAGTTCTAAACATTGAGTTGTGATTGCTGTTCTTTTTTTTCCCTTTTTACTTTGTATTAACAGTTTTTTAAACATTTTTGTTGGTCAGTGTTCGCTGGAAAATCCTGTTGCAGTTCCAGTGTCGAAATCGACTCTTACTGACTGGAACCCCAATCCAGAACACTATGGCTGAGGTAAGCAGGAGGCTATCTAGGGATGAATTTTGTTCACAGCTGCAATCTATTCAAGTGATAATGAGTTGCTGAGAGGCTTGCTGTTCTTTTGTGTAAATATATGTTTTTGGGCTATGTTTTGGCAAATCAGTGGGAAGCAACTGTGGTATCAGCTTCAAGTAGGAAAATGTGTGCATATGGCTGTCATTGGGATGATGTAACTGAAGATTGCTGGGATTCATTCATCCTTAACTCCTGGGATAAAAATACACACCCCTTTTGGTTTTTCCTTTACCTTGGTTTGAAAAGTTTTCTGTGTCTGGCTTTTTGTCTCTTGTGAAAAAGGAAGCTTTTTTTGCCATGCCAAAGAAAAACATTTCATCTTTTGATGAGATTGCTCAAGATGATCTGCATTATGTTGAGATTCCTAATAAGCATTAGCTGATCCACACTGTCTTTGCTGCTCCTTTGTAGCTATGGGCTCTGCTGCACTTTATCATGCCGACACTGTTTGATTCCCATGAGGAGTTCAACGAGTGGTTTTCTAAGGATATAGAGAGCCATGCAGAGAACAAATCTGCCATCGATGAGAGTGAGTACAGAGAGTAATCATAGTAGATTTCAGCTCTTAATTTCAGCCTGCCTTCTTATGACCTCCTGCCCCCGCCCCTGGATCCACTTCAAGTATATCCTTTGCATGTGTTCTGATACAGAAAGGCAGATTAAGTGGCTCTGATTGTTTAGGCTGTGCATCCTGTAGGTAGATTTGTGTTTCCAAGCTCCCTGTATCTTGCTTTATACATAGGAAAAGTTTCACACACAGAGAAAGTACCTGTTTTCTTTTTTTTTCACCCATTCAACAGAACACACACATGCACGCACACCACTTCACTTTGAAGGAGTCTAAAGTGTTTTGCAGGGGATATATAATATAAGATAACAAGAGGTTATACCATTCAACACTAAATGAAAGCTACCTTTCCATTTTAGGAGAAGGTCATAATTCTATGGCAACAACACTACAATGAACCACTGGGCAGTTAGGGAGAAGTAAAGAGTTTAAAAAAAAAAAAGAAAAACTGTGGAGAAATTTAGTTAACCTAGACAGAATGATTAACTGACTTGCAATTGGGCCAGAATAGTAGTTCATTTTATTTTTGTGGAGTTTCAGGATTTTTTTAACTATTGGAAAAACGTTAGAACTTGGATTTGTATCTCAGCCCAAAGACTGAACATTTCTACTAGTAGAGTGCCTTCTTGCCTCATGTTGGTTTAATACGTTCTCTGGGAAAAACTTATCAAAAATGTTATGGTGACAAGCATTTATTCCAATAATACTGGCCCAGCTGAATAACCAAATATGATCTTCTGGGTTTTTTTTAGTTGAAATGGGTGTCCGTTATATTGCAGCCTTGTTCAGTTTGGGATTATAACACACTGAATTGTTGTAGAAATTCATTTCTTGGGGGAGAACTCCAGATTTCCATGGTCACCCGTCCATCTCAATATGCTTTTAAAAAGAGTCAGTCAGAGTGGAAGGATCAATCCTGTGTGATAGTAACTTTGTTGAGGAGAAATGGGCAAACAAGAAGTATTTAATTTGCAAGTGGATATGGTACAGTTTCTACCTACTGGTAAAGTAATTATGCTTTTCTGCCCTTGGCCTTTCAGATCAGCTATCCCGTTTGCACATGATCCTGAAGCCTTTCATGTTAAGAAGAATCAAAAAGGATGTGGAAAATGAGCTGTCAGACAAGGTGCAAAATAAAATAATTTGGAAGTAAACATTTAATCTGACTTTTTAAAGGGCATCTATTCTCAAATGTTTACATTTATTTGAAAAAAAAATGTAGACCTCTACCTCTACCTGAAGTTTAATCAAAGATTGCCCATTTACATCCCTTTCATTTTACACATCTCATTACAGTTTTAACATACCTGTGTTTAACTGGAGAACTCACACAAATCTGTTAATGATCTCTTCCAGAAGTAAAACATTCATGTGAAATGCAGCAAATAAAAGAAACTTAAATCTTACGTTTCATAGCAAAGTAGTTGATGGAAAAAGTAAATGAACTGAAGGAGACTAATACAGCATTAAAATATCTGGATGAAACAATAATGCCATTCACCTTATCTTTATATTCCTTTGGTGGTGTGCACTGGGTGTTACTAAACAAATCATCCTGTAGATATCTCCCACCATTCTAAATACATAACGTTCCTGTAACTAGAGTAGTTGTCTATATGGAAAACTAGTATTAGGAATGTCTTATTACATTTATTATGTGCTTTTTTTCTAATGCATTTTTGTAGCAAGAGACAAGGAAATAATACTTAAGCATAAATGAATGATTACACATAACTTTATATTGAAATAATAGGAGGTTTGTCTTGCACTTAATTTAGTTATTTCAGTCCAGTTGCAAGTTTTGCATATATCTATACACAGAACAGCCCATTTTTTATATTTGCACACATACATGGGTATGCTCTGAGAGATGAATTCTCATTCCAGTATATGTCTAGAATAAGTAGGGTGCTTGGTAGGGACTTCTGCACAAAAGGGATTTCGCCCATCATGTCACGGAGTTGCATTGGAGTTAGTATATGACTAAATGTTTTCCTGTAGTTTTTACCCTCTCCTTTGCTTCTGTGGAATGGGCTGATGGACCCATGCAGTCCTGTATCCACCCCTGTACCCCTGTGGTGCCTTTCCTCTTTCCTAGATTTTTCTCTAAACTCTGGGTAAGAGGATAGGAGGACAGGGCCTTGCTGGAGTCTCTGAGGTCAGCAACAATTTAAGGGGTTCTTTTCTCTGACAAAGACTTTTAACCTTTTCCATGCTGGAATTCCTCCCTTGCACCTATTTAGCATATGTAAACACCCTGTTGACTGCTGCTTGCTACCCTCTGGTCAACAGTACTTTACTCAAACGAGGACTGTGGGTCAACATTTTTCAAGGTACTTAGGCCCTTAAAAATACAAGTGAAGCTTTTCAAAAGTTTCTTAGATGTCTGCACATTTAATTACCTAAATATCTTTAAAATCTGCCACCTTGTTGACTGCTTTTCTGCCTCCTTACATCAACTAAAGCCTTCCATGGCAGTATCTTCCTCTGTTAGGAAGAGCTGTTCAGGTTAGATCCTAGATTACTTCATTACTGATCAGAAGGAAGTTGCCTATGTATTTCTGGGAGATTCTTAGCATACACCTGTGATATCAACTTATGTCAGCAGTGTGAATTGATCTGATATTACTCTCAAGGATAATAGGCCTTTAACCTCACTTCTGTTTTTTAGATTGAGATTCTCGTGTACTGCCAGCAGACTAGCCGACAGAAGCTGCTATACCAAGCTCTAAAGAACAAAATCTCTATTGATGACCTGCTGCAGTCCTCCATGGGCACTACACAGCAAGCACAGAACACCACTAGTAGTCTCATGAATCTAGTCATGCAGTTCAGAAAGGTAAGGCTAGTACCAAGTGAATAATCATTATTATAATGATCGCTATGACAATAATCATAATTATTATAATGCACATCTTGTAATAAGGGGCCAGGTGATGCATCTTAAAAACACCATATTAAAAATCCTAGAATAGGCTGGCAAATTGCATACAGCCTCAGTTTTGGCTCCGATGCTTTGCGACCAGCAGTTGGAATATGACCTAAAACACAGCTCCCACGCAGTGCATGTAGCTGACATCAGGGTCCCTGGCTAGTTACTGAAAAAAATCATTTACCTGGTGAGGAGGCAATAAAAGTGATGTGGGCTGAAATTAATGCCACATGGTATTCAGAGTTGAATGGAAATTCTATGAAATATCATTGAGTCCTCATCAGTTGCACAGTTTCAGAGTAAGCCATATCCTTAAAGATCAGGGTGGAATCCAGTATTTGACATCCTCTTTTTCTTCTAGGTGTGTAATCACCCAGAGCTGTTTGAGCGACAAGAAACTTGGTCTCCATTTTACATCTCCTTAAAGCCATACCAGATTTCAAAGTTCATCTACCGTCATGGACAGATCAGGGTCTTTAACCACTCACGGGACAGGCAAGCCAACTCAACCTTCTCTTCACCTTTTCCAATACCTTTTATTTCTTATTTTAACATGGTTGCTAACTGTCTCTTTTTAAGTTGATTTAATTCTGCAGCAGTTTGCTTTTTTCATATCAATTTCCAAGTTGCTTAACATTAAATTACTAAATTTTGTAGAGTCCCTGATAGGAGTCCAGTAAAACTGTCATACTACAACTACATGTCACTTTGGCTTGGGGATAGAGCCGTAGTGGTTATGTTATCCCAACTGTGAATGTACTTAGTTTTCCTTTATTTATTTATTTTTAATTTCAGGTGGTTACGGGTTTTGCTTTCGCCATTCGCACCGGATCACATCCAGCAGTCTCTTTTTCATAGAAGGAGTAAGTTAACATTGTGATGTTGCAGGCACTCGTGTTCAGAGAGAGAACTGAGATAGATGTCCCCTGACTTTAAGGAGAAGTTGATCTGTCTGGTCACAGTTTATTAGAATCCTGTGACCTCAGCACTTGGTATGAAGTCAGCCAGCTTATTTAATCTGATTGATAGGGAGCAAGATAGAAAGATACCCTATGAGAATTCTGCTTAGTCCTATCACTGTCCTACTTCTCTATCTTTCCCTTTTTTTCCAACTTATTTTAATCCAGTTTGGGTGAAAGTTTATTTTGAATTCAAGATTGAAATTGAAATTGTGAATGCTTCATAGGTTTCCATGAGTGAAATCTCAGGTGCATTCTAGTTCAGATTCTATTGGGCACTAAACTGCAGGTTCCTCTTTCACTTGAACAAGTTGGAGAATGCATATGATCCTGAATAAGTGAAAATCATTGAATCCAAATCAGAGACAAGATCAGAAAAGAAAACAAGCTTTGTACATTGACTCAATTATTCAATTGAAAATTTCTTTCTCTCTCCCCTTGTGCAAGAGAGCTTAATTGTTCAACATGTAGGGGCATAATTTGAGTGGAGATCAAGAGCATACTATGACCAAATTCCTGCACTGAGATCTGTTAGCATGGATCCTTTCATCTGTTTAGGGTTTTGTTGAAGTTACGATTTTGTCTAACCACAGGGGCATGGGCCTCATGGAAGGTTTTAGAACCTACCTTTAATGTTCTTTTGCAATTAAAACGGGTTTCTCTGTGGGGCATAATTCATTTTAGCATAGATGATGGGCTTTTCATTGAAGCATGTTTTTGGCATTAGAATATAGCCTTGCTGTAAAGTTAACTGTGGTAAGAAAATAAACAAGTGTACCTTTTTGTACCTTTTAAACTTTTCCCGTCTTGTCTGTGTTGGAAACAGTGACTTGAAGACAGGGAACAACCAGTAAGGTGGAATTTTTAGTATGTCTTAAAAGTCTATCTTAAGTTGGAAGTTCTTATAAATTGCATATTATTTCTGTATTTGTATATCATGAAACCTGGGGTGAAAGTACATCAAGGCTGTTAAGGTTTGCTTATTGTCTTCCTGTATGTGGGTTTGCAGTAGGTATCAATCTTAACTTTCACATTTTTATGACCTAGGTGCCAATGAAGAAAGCTGTTTTTCTTTCCTCCGGTTTATTGATATGTGTCCGGCAGAAATGGCAAAACTCATGCATCAGGGACATTTAGCCAGGTGTGGAAAGTTTGCTGATCTGATTAATTTTTTAAAATTACTTATTGGAAAAGTATATGCAATTTAAAAGAGATCACCTTAATTAACTTGTATTTTTGAAGCTATGAACTTTTACTTATTAGAATTATCATTGCTAATGTTGTTGTTGTTGTTGTTGTTGTTGTTACTACAAATAATGTCTGGAGAAGTGGTGTCCAACTCATTTGGTCCTGCAGACTCGATACCACCTCATTCAGCCTGTGGTGCTTGAATTTTTTGGTGGCAGTGTTAATTGCTGTGGGTTCTGGAGCTGGAGCAACCTCCTCTCCTCCCACTGCTAAATGTCTAGCCCCACAGGCAGCCCTGTGGGCCAGATAACACAGCTTCACTGGCCAGCTCCAGCCCATGGGGTTGGAAATTTGTCATCAGGATGAGCCACAGCAGAATTAATTGATTACTGATAGTCTCTACGTCAAAGTGCTTACATTCCAAATTCACAAAGTAGATGAGGTGAAAGGGAAAGAAAATTGCCCAGGATAACATTGGAGGTCACTAGAATAAACAAGAATACAATCCAGCCCCCCAGAATCCCAAGCCATTGTGCTGTCCAGGGACTTCACTTCATTTCTTGTTATGAATTTTAAAATATTCCGAGAACAAGACTCTGGTAGAATACTGATCATTCTTTAACTCCATGTGTTGCCTGTTTTTGTGTGCCACTCAGAACATGGAATGTAACTGTAAAACATTGACAGCGTTATGGAGTTTTTAACCATGAAGAAATTCATGCTACATCAGTAATATGAACTCTCTTGTGAAAAGAGGAACAGTTACTTTAGAAATCATAGAATCATAAGGTTAAAGGAGACCTCAGAAAGTTAACCCTCTGTCCTAATCCTGTCTAAGCCGTCCGGGGCAAATATTTGTCTAATCTGCATTCAAGAATGTTGTATAACAGAGTCCATGGCCTCTCTGGGTAATCTGTTCTGATAATTAACCACTCTTATAGTGAGAGAGTTTTTAATATTCAATCTAAATCTCCCTTGTTGCAATTGTAACCCATTACTTCTGTCCCCTGTGAACACACCAAAAAGTTGATTGCTGTGAAGTATTGGGAGAAGGGGAAGAGTTTAAAGTGAATGTCTAAATGTCAACATTTTGAAGTGAACCATCTTTGTAAAATGGATTAGTTTTCTTTAACAATGCACTATGTCAGCATAACTGGCATTAGGTATTAATGGAAGATAGCTCAATGTAAAAATGAGTGCTTTATAGTAATCTAGATGCCTTGGCACGGCCATATCTAAGAATTGCTTACTTTCACGGTCATGGTTATTTGACCAGTCGCTTCAGTTCTTTGGTTTTGTAACATGATACAACTTTCTCCTGAGTTAGCTAATCACTGAAATGAATCATTGAATGTTGTACACTTATAATGCTGTGTCCTTATCACAAATAACTTTTCTATGCAGGTGCAAAGATAGGTGTTAAGTAGCAATGGCCACTTCTGAGTTGAGTCTTTGGAAGAAGTGCTTCAGCATGTGTTGACTTATCACTGTAACTCATGGAAAACTTCTTAGAAAAAACTAAAACAAGACGTAGTGTTAGTTTTCCCATACCCATTTTCTTTTTTCCCCAAACTCAGGGTATTGTAAGCATGAACTATTAAAGGAATAAGATTAGTGGCAAACCAAACCTTTTTGTATATATTCAAACCCACGCTCCACAAGGCAGTGAATAAGTGCATGTACTATGTTTTGTTTCAGGTGGTTAGCTCTTTTCCTGTCTCTGAAAGCTGCCTACAGGCTCCATCACCTGCGCTCCTGGACAGAGCCAGGAGAGAACCAGCAGACATCTCAGTGTTTGAGGAACAAAGATTTCTTGCTTGGAGTCAATTTTCCACTCTCTTTCCCCAACCTGCACAGCTGCACTTTGCTACAGGTAAGTAAAATTTCAGTGACAGGCACATCTTTTATTTAGCAAGCGCTATCAGGTTGTGAAACAGTGAAAACCTGTGAAAAACATAAATGAATATATCTATCCACAGAAGTGCTGGTTAGCTGATTTATAGGACACAGTGTAAGGCTAATCTTTTCAGCCAAAAGTCTGTTTGATCTTCAGGAAAGACTTTGGAAGGCTTTCCTGTTAGAAATGGTTGATGTCAGTGTGGTGACTGGGGTTAGACAGTATACTACAGCCTGTGTGAACCTCACAGTTGATGTTTTGTTTTTAAAGTATGTAAAGTATCCAGTGGAGCATAATAAGTAACTAATATTTCAGTAACTCTTTTGTAAGCTATTCTCATTCATTACCAGAGGGAATATTTTTGCATTTAATTATGGTAGATACAATTACAATTACCTGTGGGAAAGATGAGGAGGAAATAAACAGCAAAACCTAATCTAATGTGTTGAGCACATGGTTCCTTTTCAGCCCATATCTTTTACATGTAATAGGATGCTGTCACCAAACTATAGACTTGGAAAGGAAAACTCAGGCTACGGTGAGATATGGATCATTCACAGTAAAAAGTAGCTGTGCAGTTTGTCTGTGGAATTAGGGACCCCTGCTACTACTCATGAAACACAGCTATATGTAATTAAGTGATCATCTCTTTCTTTTTTCAGGTCCCCTTTTCAGGTTGTGTTTGAAATATATACAAAGATGCATTTATTCTCTCACATGTGCTTTATGGTTAGAACTGTAATGATAGATACTGGTCTTATTTTGTCTGGGTGGCAAAAAGTGGCACAGCATAGGATACAGAAGCATAGTTAGCAACAATATGGGTAATCTTTAGCACATCAGATCAATAAAAATGAAGACCTTACATGGCTAGTGAAACTGATACTTAATATCCCAAAGCATTTAAGTCTTTTTGACAGCTAGGCTTAACCAGCTATTTGGATTTGTACATGCCATGAGCTTCGCCAAGTGATAAAGGATTAACGTAACAGTTTCTAACCCCCTGTTCCATCTCAAGCCTGCCCAATCCCCACCCAGTCTCCAGCTGCTTTAAAAGTCCCTTGATTGAGGCCATAAGTGTACAACAGCCTTGATGCCATACTCCTGCAGCTGAATTGCTGCCTGCTTGCTGTTCCCATCTTCCTCCAGTCATCCATTGATCACAGTTTAGGAAGTGGTGAATATGGTTCAAAATGTTTTGTAGCCCAGTTTATACTCACATCTCTTCTATACAGTTAGTTGTCACATGGAACAGATGGTATGTGAATTTATGGAATGGGGAGCATGCTTTATTTTGGGTTATTTGGTAATATCCCAAAAGGGATTTCGGACCTAGTGGTGGGGAGGAGAGATTTTTGTGGTGGGAGATGGAAACATATTGATAAGATGTGCCTTAGGTATAATATGAAAAGGGTTGATTCTTTAAAATGGAGTTACTGTTATTTTTATGAGGAAGACTTCAAGTGCCTATAGGAGCCTACAAAAGGGAGGAAAAAGTAAAGGACTAGGAAACAGCCAGAGAAGAGTAGTTTGCAGTTCTAAGATACAAAGGAAGTGAACACACAAGCTACATAGGGCTAAAAGGCCGGTGTAAACAGAGACCTCAGCTTAACAATGCATAGATTAAATGTGTGAGACACTGGTAGTCTGACATAGTCACTGGTGTGTCTTTGAGCTCTGGAATTTGGTTTCAGTCTGCTGGGCAGACTGAATCCAAATCTGTTAACTTGTAGTATACAGCATCAAGTTAGTTCTTTTTCCATGGTTTTGCCTGAAAAGTGTGTCTATTCTTTTTATGATTAGTAGACATATTAACTTTTAAAAATGTACTGTATTATTTGGGTTTTGATATTTGATCCCATGTTACAAATATGTTCACAAAAGAATAGGTGTAGAGTAAGCTGAAAAGAATCCTTGGATAGAGTTGAAATGATTCATCTAGTGGCAGTTAACACATTTACAGAGGGAAACCGTTTTTCTGAAGCAGTGGGATCTTGCTTGAGCAGACTCCATTTCTGAAAGGAATGTGGCTTCTCGCCACAAGTCTGTGGAGGTAAAGGAGAAAGCCAGAATTCAGCCAGCATGAAGGGGAAGTTTTGTTTCCTGCCTTTACGCATGTGAAATACAATCTTGGGCTTGGTGTTATATTTTGCAGCGTTATCAGAAAGGCCAGCTACCATTAATCTAATATTCAGACAAACAGCTGGCCAACAGTATACATAACTGTGGCTGCACTGGAGTTCAGGTAAAACTTGATTCCAGATCTGATTTGGTGAAATGTCTGCTCTTCTCCTATGTGGGTTTGGCTGATGTAAATTTCCTAAGTTTCTGATCTGCCAGGGCAAAAGTCACAAAGAGACTTGGGCTGAGCATCCTCATCCCTGAAAAGTAAGTGCCTGACTCCAGGCCTGGGATCCATAAACTTGAGTTAGGTGCCTAAGTTCCCTGCATTTTAAATGGGAAGATTAGGTGCTTATAACTGGGATTAGCAATGCACAACACACTGAAGAGGGAGGACACTTTAGTCAGTTAATGGAATAAGGGTGCATGTCTCTCCCAGATTGATATGGTAGTTTGGTGCCTAACTCAGGGCTGCATTGAGGCATCTGTGTGAAATGGGGTTTCGTAGCTTGAAACTCCTGCCTAGACTTAGGCCTAAATGATTTCTTCATGTACAGGCAACTGGTTTAGACTTCAGCTGGTGATGGTCATCTTTTATGCCATAGATAGTAGGTAGAGAACTTGCATAGGAAATAAGAGACCTGGGTTTTAGGTCCCCTTCTGTCTGAGGGGATTCAGACTCATCTTCCACTTCCCAGGAGATTGCCGTGACTCAGATGGGCATCTGTTAAAGCTGGACTTCTGGACAGCAAAGAATGGGGCCACAGAGCCCAAGCAAAATGAAGCACATCTCTTTTTCAGTGAAACGGGACAGAGAGCTGGAAAGGAAAGAGTGCAGAGATGCCTAATTTGTGAACCTCAAATAGGCTTAAGCAGGACATAGGTAGTGAAATGCTCAGCTCAGCCAGAATGGTGGCAATTCTGTGTAGGTTCTGTTGCAGGACTTTAGGTGCATAAGTCAATGTTTTCCTGAAAACTTGGCTGTCAGTGTCTAGGAGTTCTCTGTTGCATAAACAGGCTTTCTGTGGATCACTTCTTTGGACTTAAGTGGCTAACTTCTGTCAAAGTAATTTAAGAACCAGAATTATTTTGTGAATGTCACCCTCATGAGCTACATATGTAGCACTGGTCTAGCAGACCATGCCATAGTGCTGCTTTGTTCAGAAGGACAGTGTGTAATCTCTCTCTCTGATTCTAATTGTGTATTCAGTAAAAAAAAACCCAAACTTGTGGATGACCAGAAGCTTTTCATTCTCGCACAGTAAAGGGGGATAGGATGACACGTTCTTGGGCAAGTAGCTTTTTCTAAGTGGGCTGGTGCACCAGCTACTTCAACAGAGCTCTAACTGATCTAGAGAATGTGGTCTAATAGTGTTACTTTTATATGGACCAGGGAATTCAGATACTAACATTCGCTCAGAGTAGAGCCCTCTAATATAATTATCTGCAGGCTGGAATCTTTAGGTTTTATTTACTGTATTTTTAAGACTACTGATTAAAGCTGGCCAAAGGTCAGTGTCCCACACAGCTATTAATGGAGTCCCCTATAAACAACTAACTAATAAATGACTATTAGCTTCAAGTTGATTTGGGGCGTTTGGTTGTTCAAATTTCCTTTTGAGGTTAGTATAGGAGAGCTAAGAGTAAAATGTGCAGCTGTATAGCTATTTCGGTTTGGCTGTATAAATGTTTAAATGACAGAGAATGTCTTACTATTTTAAATGGAAGAGAGCAGAAGAAAAGTTTGTTTTGGGTAGTGAATTACGGTTTTATGTGCTTTCCAGAATTAATAGCTAGCTGCTGTTAATACTAATGAATAACAAGCACATGTTAGGAATATAACCTCATCCATATGTGAACCTAGCCAGATTTAAGTAGAGGTACATTAATACATCGGTCCAATATCGAATCGGTGCTGCTATAAAGAAAATTTACTGTATTGAAAATCAGCTTTTTTTTTTGCCTGATGTGGCCGATAAATGCCCTGTGCATGCACACAGCCACAGAAGAGCACGTAGATGGCGAGGAGCACAGCCCAGCAGCATGGAGAGCTGCATCCAGTTGGTAAATCTGTTGTGGTGGAAGG